CCTATATGTACAGATTTTGCTCGTATTTCTAAACCGTAAATTACCAATTTTCTAGTATATTTTCGTTGCAGTTAACTATAATGGCCAGTTCAAATTTAAATAGCTGTTCAAAAGGATCGATGGCAGAGCTCAGTAATCTATTGCGATTACTGTCAAACATAGTAAGGGCCTAGCGTTCCCGTTACGCCTATAGGCAAAAATCTTTCATTTGCATAACAATAAACGTTATACTCGTAAATATAAATTGTTATATATATATATATATATATATATATTGTATTTTTATTATCTTGTAATAGTCATTTTTGTGTATCCTCCTTATCCTGAACCACCTGTATCCATCAACTTCCTGCATTTATTATTACTTGGGTATATAAGTAATAAGAAAACTAATAGTTATCAAAAAACGAACATGGAGACGTTAATTAACATTTTTTAGAAAAACCTAGTGATCCCGTTCGCGCACATGTTTTGTGATTGTAAGTCCCACGCGGTGGTAAGTGATGACCAAGCCCTAGGTGTTAAGTAATTCTTAATATCATATTGATATATAAATACACAGTAAACACTCAGAATGATGATGAAAACTGCATTAAAATCAATCCAGTGATTTAAAATTTTTAATCTACATATATATTACCTATTTGTAAAATAAAGATAATGGTAAAAAACGTGAATTATTATAGAGATGGCTGAAAAGCAATTCTAAAATTATCAGCGTCTTGACAATTAAGATTGGTATAGTGGATATGTTCCAATAGATGTGAAAATGACAAGTTTGGAATTTTATTACAATTCCATTGTTTGTTTATCCATTGCATGTTTATAGTGCAGCGCCGAAACCGCACAAGTGCTAATGCAGTTGTTATATTAACCTCCGACCAAAACAGAGGGGTGTTATGAGTTTGTAGTGTGTATGTGCGTGTCTGTCTGTGGCATCATAGCTTCTGACTATAAGACCTGATTTTGATTTGATTGTGATTTCTAAATCGTTCCCTGCTGTACGACGATCTTTTTATTACTACACAGAATAAATTGCCAGTTACAGTATTCTACAGGATGTCGCTGTTATATTATTATTGTGTTAGCTGTGCCCGCGACTTCGTTCGCATCGAATAATTTTTGGTCATTTATTAGATATCATACTTCTATATTCGAATAATTGTGTTCACAATTTCATTGGTTTTAATTTTGTTGCCTGATTCTTTTTCTAAAATAAAAGTAGCTTAAGTTACTCCTTATAACATCAGTTGTTAGTGAAATTCGGTCCAACTGTTTCAGAGATTAGTCGCAACAAAAAGGCAGATAGATAGAAGAAAAATTTGAAAATAGTTTTTTTTTGTAATATGTACCGTAAATATCGTAAATAGCTGGTATTTTTGACATTACAAATACATAGAGAATTTTATTTATTTGTGTAAGTAGGTGATGTTCTGTGGGCCGACTTCGACCTTTATCGACGTTATTTCTAAAGTTAACGGCCTAATAATTTCACTACACATGAGCACACTAAAGACGTGACCTATCTAACGCTTTCAAAGATAAGTCAGGATGTAGTGTCAGGGACACGAGTACAGTCACAAAGCAACCGGACCCAAAAAGCAAACATTGTGATTTTTGCCCAAAGCTCCCTAAATTGGTTGGATCCGCATCATAGAGGCATTGTTATATTACATAGTTGACAACATTTGACGCTTTTATTAAAGTAGTCATCGTAATTTAGCGATTAAAAAATAACGATGTGTGTCCTTTTCACGAATTTATCAAACGAAATGCTTCAAACATGCGAACGTGAAATAAAATAACATTTGAATTCCATTTATTGTTATAAATTTCTGCCACAATTTATATTACTTATATATGAGTTATTTGTGCGTAAATAGCTCTGAATGCAATTCCGCGTGCTGTGTCTAATGATGAATCGCACCCAACGGCTGTTCGTAACTGATGTGATTTGAGAAAATCCCACCAGTTTCATACTAGCTGAGACCTGAGGCACCCTACTTATCCTCATTACAAATATAATGTATCTGTATAATGTTCATGAGGCTTATATGGTTACCTTTAGCTTTGCCGCATAAAAACAAAACCAGGAGGAGGATAGATAAAAAAAAAACAGAAAGTCGTATGCTATAACTAATATATTAATAAAAAATAACAAATAAGCTTTAGGAATAATTAGGAACAACTCGAAAATTTACTTGATGAAAACTAACCACATTACGCCATACTAGAATCGACTAAAACATTTAATATAATATCAACCGTTAAAATGGCGTCGAGAAAGCTGCGTCCTTTTGACTCTTTATTATTCGTATAATAATGATGAAGAGCTATCGTATCATATGCCTTCTATGCAAATAAGGCATATCCAAATAAATGTAGTTTTTGAGTTATAAGAAAGTGACCATATTACCCTCACGTACTATAAGGTTAATTAATCATATGAAAAACTATTTAAGAAGAGCGAATTATCATCTATATTTGTCTTTAAATTTAAACTTCACGTCTTTAAGCCCCAAAAACGGTATAAACTGGCGGGTTCTTTCACTCTTTTTGGTTGCAAGGCCAATTGACAATCGCAGTAGTAAGTATTCAGCACTTCAGTGCTGATTCAGTGAGGAGTATTCCACATTAGGTATAAATAAATTGGTGTTACCTCCATGTATTTAAAGGCATGAATATAGATATTTTCTATATTTGCCAATAAAACAGTATTTTAACACTCAGGAAATAATTAGAAATAATGTTTTTTATAACGCCGCAAAACACATTGATTATGCCGCCATATAATGGACAGTAAGGAAGTTTAAATAAGCCGTGGGTATTCATGGGCTAAGAGCTCGCTGTAAATTCACTGCACGCGAGGTTACGATCCCCGCCGACGACTTGTTGATTGTAATTTTAAGTGTTGATTTACCACGTGCTCGGCGATGAGGCCAAAACATCGTGAGAAAACTTGCATATCTGAGAAATTAAAAATTGATTCCGCCAGCACGCGACATCAATCCTTTACCCCAAATCTCTCTCAGAAATGATAGAGAATGTATGTAGCCGTGGGCGTATGTGAGCTGTAACTTTACCCCAAATCTCTCTCAGAAATGATAGAGAATGTATCTAGCCGTGGGCGTATGTGAGCTGTAACTTTACCCCAAATCTCTCTCAGAAATGATAGAGAATGTATCTAGCCGTGGGCGTATGTGAGCTGTAACTTTACCCGAAATCTCTCTCAGAAATGATAGAGAATGTATCTAGTCGTGGGCGTATGTGAGCTGTAACTTTACCCCAAATCTCTCTCAGAAATGATAGAGAATGTATCTAGCTGTGGGCGTATGTGAGCTGTAACTTTACCCCAAATCTCTCTCAGAAATGATAGAGAATGTATCTAGCCGTGGGCGTATGTGAGCTGTAACTTTACCCGAAATCTCTCTCAGAAATGATAGAGAATGTACCTAGTCGTGGGCGTATGTGAGCTGTAACTTTACCCCAAATCTCTCTCAGAAATGATAGAGAATGTACCTAGCCGTGGGCGTATGTGAGCTGTAACTTTACCCCAAATCTCTCTCAGAAATGATAGAGAATGTATCTAGCCGTGGGCGTATGTGAGCTGTAACTTTACCCCAAATCTCTCTCAGAAATGATAGAGAATGTATCTAGCCGTGGGCGTATGTGAGCTGTAACTTTACCCCAAATCTCTCTCAGAAATGATAGAGAATGTACCTAGTCGTGGGCGTATGTGAGCTGTAACTTTATCCCAAATCTCTCTCATAAATGATAGAGAATGTATCTAGCCGTGGGCGTATGTGAGCTGTAACTTTACCCCAAATCTCTCTCAGAAATGATAGAGAATGTATCTAGCCGTGGGTGTATGTGAGCTGTAACTTTACCCCAAATCTCTCTCAGAAATGATAGAGAATGTATCTAGCTGTGGGCGTATGTGAGCTGTAACTTTACCCCAAATCTCTCTCATAAACGATAGAGAATGTATCTAGCCGTGGGCGTATGTGAGCTGTAACTTTACCCCAAATCTCTTTCAGAAATGATAGAGAATGTATCTAGCCGTGGGCGTATGTGAGCTGTAACTTTATCCCAAATCTCTCTCAGAAATGATAGAGAATGTATCTATTAAGGGGGAAGATAATATGATTTTCTTTGTCATAAGATTCACCCGGAGTAATTTGTGAATTGAGGAACAAGGCTTTAGTGATTAATTAAGGGCGGAAAATCTATTAAATGTTCGATGAAATATATTGATATGAATCTAACTTTGTATGATGAAAAGGCATAATTCGAGTTTACTCCAGCTGCTAGGTACTTAAATAGATTGCAGAGGTATTTGAAAATCAAAACACCAGTAGATTTTTCTTTTAATTTGAAGTTTGTTCTATTAGGCTTTTTTACACGTGGTATAGTCAAGCTGTACCTGCGCTAAGGCACTCATGCTGCTGAATGATCTGCAACTTAAACAAATTTGTGTTTTTTTCTCATAGTGTAGGTACATATTGTAGGGTTTCTATAATTATTTCGTTGAAAATTATCTATTGAACATTTATTAAGCGAGTAGTATTTAGAAGTAAATTATCAGTAAAATGTTGCTAATATGGTAGCGGTCTCGAAAGTCACCGTCTAGGTACAAGTTAACGGGCTGAAACAAATTATGGCGTCTATAATAAATATTTTCCAGTGTGAAAGCGAATGGACATGGACAAGTAAACGCTTGCTCTTTAATTAGTATCTCATGTTTTGGTGTATCAACGATAAACAAATCAGTTTGCTAGATAGTTTAACAACAACGTCAGCTTTCAAGTTATTTCTAATCAAGTATCTACGAGGATAATTAATTGAACGTTTATAGCGTACAGATACAGGTGGCGCAACAATGTTGGCTTTCGATTGTGAGGTTTTACCTATTCGTCGATAGATAGAGCTTATATAAATAGCGCTTGTGGTTTGCAATCATTATAAAACTATTAGGTAAGTAATACATTATCTGCAATAAATTAAACACTTACTTTACAGTTTCCTTGTACACAAATAGCTCGAAATCCGGGTTTAGTACAAGGTGTACCATCAGCTACCAGCGCTAATGATGCGTAGAACTGCTGGCCGCGTGGTCTGCAGTTCAAAATACACGGAGCATTCCCTGCAAAATAAATTTTTATTAAATTTTGCTTAGGGTGATGATTATTTAAGGATTTTTTGTTCTTTAAAGCGTTCAATCAATTAGTTTGTTTAATAGTTAATAATGTTTTATTATTCATCTTATTGTTATCATATCAATATGATTATTGTCATCTCGTGCCTTTTTGAAAAAACGTCAAAACTTGCAAAATTTAGTCTAAAATATTTTTACTTAGGACTTTATAAATAAGTAAAACAAGTATTTAGTAAAAATAAAGTATATATTTATTCGTTAAAATGAAAATTGTAACTAGATCAGTAGGAAACCTATCTTTCTTGAGGCTAAAATTTCACTGCTAGCGTAAAACTACAAGCTAATAACAAATGTAACAATACGGATTTCGTTTTTTTTTTACTAAGTAGTTCAAATAGACATATTATGTTTTAAAATTAATATAAGTTAAAAATTCAAAAAATATTTATCTTTACCACAAAAAGAGCTGTTTTGATTTTTAACTGATTGAAAAAAATTAAATTCAAGAATGGTTTTAATCATTTGAACATCTTATTTATAATAAGTATATATATAATAAGTATTATAAAAGTGCCGTGGTATTTAAATAAGTAAGGTCAGATCAGGCTTCTCTCTCTCTAATAAGTATTTAATAATCTAGGGGCTTCTAGCTGCCAATATCCGGCTGGTGCAACTCCCATAGTAAAAAATATATGTACAAAACGGGACCAAATTTTAATGGCAATTTTTTCTTCTTTTTACATTTTGTCGAATCAAATAGGTTCAAATGTCAAATCAAACTGTTCGATTTGTATATATTTTATATGTATATATTTATTTTGATTGCTTTTAATTTTGCTAAAGGAATCGCTGTCCTTTTATAGAATTATTAAAAATCTAAAATCCATTATTAAACTTGCCAATTAGATTGTGTAAGAAGCGAAAAAATATTAACAAGAAAAGATTATTCATAGCAACATTTTTCTTAGATGATGAAAGTTATGTGATGATTTCAACCGTAATAGTAATATAATATTTAACGCGAATACATTTTTGGACCTTTATTTGGAGTAATGTTCTAAAAACCGAACTTCCATCACGGATGCTATTACCATCGGAAACTAGCACTCTACGTAGGCTAGGTTTTTACAGTGTACGAACACAATCGTAAATTACATTTCCTTTATATGTAGCAAAAGATAATATTCCTCTAAAGTCACATTTTGGTAAGAATTTTATTATATAACTAAAATCTTTTTTATAGATTTATCTACATACATTAGCTATAATGAGAACTAATTTTACAAACAACAATTTGTATTTCAATTTGTAAATTTCTCTGCGAGTAGTGTGTACCTCTGTGATGAAGTCTAGCAATTTGTCACATTAATCCAATCAGTTTAAAGAAAAACAATATTTAACCCTTTTCAAAAAAATCTAACTTTAAAAACAAGCACCCAGGCGTAGACTATTTATTTAACAGCATAGAAACACTTGTTAAGTTCGGGAACGAACCTTCGGTCCTGCAGTGCCATAGCCATACGCTTAGCCACTGCGCTACAGAGTCGTCATTTATTTTTTGGTATAATTTTGCGTTGTTTATTTTACGCTTTCTTTTACATATTTTTGTATTTACCTTATTCTCATCGGCAGTTTTACTCAAACCCTTCGTAAAAACTTTTATTTCTCATAAATTATTCGGTACAGGGATCTAACTTATATAAAATAATCGAAAAAATATATCGATGTACATTATACCGATAAAATTATTCGATTAATTGCCTATGTTGTCAACACTGTTTGTCAAAAATTAAATGTCATGTCTTGATGTTGGTAGAGTAGCTTGGCGCCTCTTTTATACATTTACTTTTACTAAGAAAGTCCCGCCTCATTATATTCTTTTTGGCCAATATACACAATCATTGCACTATAATATACTGCAGCCCTAAAAACTCCGTAAGTATCAAATTGTCAGACTTACGAGTATTTTCGCTCGAAATTGTGTGTCACGGTCTCAAGAAGATTTGGACAGAGTACTGTGAAGACCGTCATCGGCGATTGCTACGAAGACGATTCTAGGGGTTCTGTTGTGTTTGGGCAGGAATAAATTTTTTGGATCATACTGAGTCAGTCTTCATCGAAAATGACACACTGACTGGACACCGATACATAACGGAAGATCTAATTGCTCATTCACACCCCGCATTGACACTCTTGGCGAAAACTCATTTTTTATGGACGACAACGCTCGCGCCCACCGGTCCGACTATGTAAAAGCGTATATGCTAGAGGTCGGAATTCGCTAGAAGTGCCGACTTAAATCCATTAGAGTATATCTGGGACGTTCTAAACGACGATTGAGATCAGTGCAGCCGGTTCCGCAGACCATCAGAAAAATGACCAAGAAATGTGATAATGCGAAAATGCGCGAAATGAGAACGTATTTTGAAAGAAACCATAAGAAATATACTCGCTGGCATGCCCAGACGAATGGAAACTGTGATTTTAGCATGAGGGGTTAAACTTCATACTAAACTTTCAGTCATACTCAAACATCACTTCACATCAAACATCACTTTTACTGAGCAAGCAGTTACACTACTAGTGATTTGAACTTTAACATTACTTTTCATTAATTTAATCAAGATGTTATGATAAAACTGACGAAAATTATTCCTTGCTAATTAAAATTAATTTACAAAATTCTAAGTATAGACTACCGATCTAAAATTATGAAACAGTCTAATAGTAACAATAAAATTGGTTCTTTGCGTTGGTGTCCGTCTTTTTTTTCAAGAGTTTATATAAGTAATGTATTATTACATAGGGATAACTTTTAACGATATAAATATAGCGCTATAAATTATTTTTACCAAAACATTTATTATTTATGTATGTTATGTATAGGTAGCTCATAGATTTTTGCTTTGCTAACTCAACTCATTCTCTTACAACACAGGCAATTATGATAATGTAATAAATTCAGAGATAGGTTCGACTAATTGGGACGAAATTCTTAGTAGTGGTGACGTTGAAGATACGGTCAATACTTGTTATAATATAATATATATAATATTCGTGATAAATATTTTCTCTCGTCATTTAAACGCAAAAGAAAATAACAACCATGGTTTAACCGTGCACTTATAAATTAATCAATGAAAAAAATTATCATAAAGAGTTTAAAGTTAATGGTAATTTAAGTGATAAAAATATATTTATCATATTAAGAGAAAGAGTGAATAGAATTGAAAAGGAAGTGTATGGCAAGTACATTAGTAATGTTGAAGATAGCTTAAAAAGTCATTCTAATACGTTTTGGACCTATATCAGAAATAAGAAGAAAAATATTCCATATTCTTCTTGTATGACGTACTCCAGTATGTCTACTATATTATAATTCAGATTCTGACTTTCAGGTTTTGAGGTCCTGACGGGCCTTCGGCTATTTTCTTAACTAAGTGTGCCAAAATTATATCGAAACCTTTATCGTTCTTTAGGTTCAATGCCTGCAAGATGGAAATCCGCATTTATAACTTCCATTCATAAAAAAGTGCTAATAATCAAATTGAAAACTATCGTCATCTACATAGGTGGTAGAGCCATGCTGCAGTTGTATTAGTAGTATAGTTGTGGCACAAATGGGTCGGCTCGACCGGGGAAGGACTACGCTCTCACAGAATACCAGCGTGAAATAAAAGCTTAATGCTGTTGTGTTTCGTATGGTAAGTGTAGAGAACCGGAGACCCTTTTTACTGTAAACGAGGCATTCCATCTTAGTCCTCACGGGTGACAACGCATCTGCATTTTGATTCGTAATCGAGGATAGATGTAGATGTCTATGAGCCACAGTAACCACTTACCATCAGGTGGACTGTGTGCTCGTTTGTCACCCTATCCTATAAAAAATTCTATACTATGGTAAAAATATCTACTGCTGGTATCAGGGGCGATCTGTTTAGATGGCTTACATCTTATATTTCTAACAGATCACAAGCGCTAATTTAATACGGATTTACATCTTGCTGGACGAGTGTCCCTTCTGGAGTTCCTCAAGGTTCGCTACTTGGCCCCCTGCTCTTTGTCATATTTATCAAGGATATTGCTAAATGCTTACAGAACTATGAATTATTGTTCTAATAATTTGTAATGCCATTTTTGAAAAATTCTAATAGGCTTACTTGTAAATTACATTATATACCATATAGCACTAATAAAAAGCTGTAAGGTTTCCTGTTATAAATAAATAAATCAATTCAACTCGTCTGAGTAGCGTTCGGAAGATTACGACACATCTTCTCCCCGTATACCTCAAAACCTGAAAACAATATTGTACAACTGTGATGATTTATGGGTCTGAGACGTCGTTTTCACTGCTGGCCGTATGAGAAACTGAAGATTGCTAAACGAGCTGTGGAGAATGATATGCACGGGGTTTCACTGCGTAATAGACTTAAAAATCAGAATATCCGCAGTAGAACCAAAATAAACGACATAGCCCAACGGATTAGTAAGCTAAAGTGGCTAGGGCCCGGCCACATAGCTCAAAGAACCAGCAACCGATGGGGAAGAAAGGTTTTCGAGTGGCAGCCTCGTACCTGTAGGCGAGGTGTAGAACAGCCCCCTATTAGATGGAGTGACTACCAGGTAAGATGATAGAATGGTGATGATAGATTCTAGATTAAAAAACGATCGATACAGGTGGCTGGGGACCACGTTTATTGGCATTTCTTGGGTTCAGCACTTATGAATGGCTGTAATGACGATGATGATGATGATGAAAAAAAGACTACTTGTTTTAATTTATTATATGTATTATACGCGGTCTGGTCTAATAAAGAAATAAACATGGTAGAAAGAAGGCCAAAAGACACCCCACTTTTCAGGATTATCAGGAGTCTTAGCTCCTGATAATTCTGAAAAATCTTATACGTAGTGGAGCTATGCTGCAACTATATTAAAACTGTAACACGAATGGGCTGGTTCGACTGGAGAAGGAATCACAACGTGAACAGCAGCTTAATGCTGTTACGTTTCCGCAGCTTAATGTTGTTACGTGCACTTTGTATAATTTTGTTTTATTTTCTTTTAAAACTTAGTAATTAATTAATAAGTTTTTAAAATTATTTGAGATGGCAGTTCAGGTAAAAGCTTGACAATGGCATAACGATATAACGTTGTGTAGTCAACGAGTGTTCTAGAAGCAAATTCGTAATGACTTACCGTCAACATATGGCACCCAAGTGTAAAAGCGTCCGCGGAACGGTCTGCGGTCGTACACCGCACACTGGTCCGCACGAGAGTCACGACGTGGACCGGGACACGGCTGGGTATGTAACAACAGGAATAATTATAGCATACATACATATATAAACTCTCACATCTTTCACAGAAAGGGGCAGGCAGAAACTATGGACTTCCTTTTGGTACGGTTCTGTCGCACCTTATTCGCTTCTTCCATATCCATATATTATCTGAACATACAAGCTCGGCGGTTAAGGGTACTCTTAATTTGGCTCTGACTCTTAATTTTTATAACACCAATTTGATAATTAGCGAAGTGTGTTGTTTTTACCTAGATTTAAGATCGATTATAAAGATAGCTATTACGATCACTCCTTAATTTAACCACAGGAAAATCTACCAAAAAAATATCAGCATACAGTCAGTCAGAAACAGTATTTTGAGTACCGTTATCGGAGCTTAGATTTTAGAGTTTCTGACTGGTCTAACTAACGTGGTCAATTTGATAAACTTTTTCAAAAGTGCATGTCTACTGGCGTAATTTCAGAAACGGCCACTGTGGGCTATAAATTACTTTTCTGTATCAATAATTTTATTCTACTAAAACACCAAAGAGATTTAATAATATATATCTTTAAATATCTCTTTATATCTTTATATCTTTAAACGAGCAATTATTGTATATATATTATATATATAACGGCTCGGAAACGGCTCCAACGATTTTCATAAAATTTTGTGTCCAGGGAGTTTCGGGGGCAATAAATCGATCTAGCTAGGATTTATTTTTAGAAAATGTCGTTTTGTCCGTGTTTTCAGATTATAAAAAAACTTGTACAATATAAGAAGGTAAATTTCGACAGATCACTAACGATCGTTATAGCTCAGGTGGGATGTTGGTCGGGCGTGATATCGAAGTTCCGCGGTTCGCGTCCTGTCTCGGTCTAGCTTTTTTCCTTTTTTTTTTCAAGTTCCCTTCTTTTGTGAGAAAATTTATTATTTCAAGCCCTTTTTTTAGTAATTTTTAAAAATACGAAAATTTTATTAAAACTAATTGCACTCATGATTTTTTATTCAAATAATCAGTTCAGTTTTTTCTATTCTGTCAATAAGATCATAAAATTTTTTAGTGTTTTTATATATATATATATATATATATATATATATATATATATATAGTTATTCAGTCTGAATCCACCTGAGTATGCCAAAGGTATACATGAGGACAGGCATGACCCAGCCATTATATGCGTGTGCCTTATTCACACCGGACAAAAGGTTGTTAAGCACTTTGGTCAAGCGTGCATAAAACATGTCGCAAACTGACTGTTTCATACCAGCCTCATCGATACCGATGTTCTGTGACATACCCAGGTATCGGTATGTTTCAGCCTCGGAAAGGGTTCTTAAGTTGACGGGCATAGATAAGTCTATGCCCTCAGAGTTAGCAACCCTTCCCCTTTCAACATGGAGGACCGCACACTTATCCATGTTGTTGTGTTGATGTTTAGCAATTCCATAGAATGGGAGCGACTGGAGACGAATAACTTGATGTCATCCATATAGAAAAGGTGGGTCACTTTTGTCCCTCCTTTCCGTAGCTGAAATCCCCTCCCGGAGCCCTCCAGTAAGGCACTGAGAGGTTTCAGAGAGAGGCAGAATCAGATTGGATTCAGAAAACTGTGAGCACGCGCGTGTTTTAAGCCCTCTAGCGAAAAATAGCATAAATACTACGCTGAAAATTTATTTGGAAACATTTTAGCTATTTCCCATTAGGTGACGCTTCTAAATATGAGGTAAAAATCGGTTTTCGGTACGTCATCAATTACTAACATATTTGTAATTATATAGTGACGTTACTAGATAACAGAGGGCACTTATTACAATAATTTTGCTTTCTTCTAGAACAATCTACCAGAAATAATATTCTTTAAAGATTATTTTTTAAATATACATCATTCTTAGGATAATAAACCGATATCATGTTCATTTTTTGCTCCGTATAATACACATATTATATTAAAAATAGGGCATATTTTCTTTAAAAATATTTTATAAATTTATGAAACGAATGCGTTTTGACCTTTCGGTGACGTCACTTAGACTAAATGACAAAAATCGGAGATATATCCTATAGGACAAAAGTTACAGACGACAATTTTGTTGCTGATGTCCGGTCTGTTACTACTATATACTTAAATGTCTTTGTAAAACACCTTATCAAAAGCAATACTTACATAGACATATCAAAAAAAGTTTGCGATCAGGTTTGAAAAATAGAAATATTTTTGTTACGTTAGATTAAATTATAATTTATTCTTCTTTTAAGATTATTTACTAAAAATATAGAATTAAAATATAACACGATAAAAAAAATCATTTTTTCCATATAAAAAGAAATTCAATCCAAGCTTACGCTCATTTAGAAACCTGGCTTGGTCAATTTTAACGGATTTGAAATATTTTCTCAAGGAAAGTTGTGATTAAAAAAAATACCAAGAGGATTATCGGAAGTTTTACGAGCAACAATTTTACCTTTGAGGGAAGAAGGATATTCCAGGAGAAAAATAGCACGCAGAGTTGCTGTATCCCAAACCTGTTTCGTGGCCACGTTGCAGAAGTACCAGGGCTGAATGATTTAGCTGACCGACCCTGCAGTGGTCGCCTAACTGTTCTGACTGCTGCTCAGAAGCGCTATATTAGATTGCTGACAGCCCGTTGCCCAACAATTTACGCCACTACAATAAAAGCAGAAGTGCGGGCCGCCTCTGGACTTGAAATTCATGAAATGTGAATCACTCAGATCATTCGAAATTGCTTACTGCTTAATTGGCTGGACTACGAGCACAGAGGCCTTGGTGTGCATTTCTGAATTCACGGCACTTCAGCGATGGATATTGCAGCGAGAGGCTCCGGCGAAATGAAAAAGATGCGGGAAATCAGTGTCCTTTTGGGGTGGAATTATGATTAGAGGTACAATGCCTTTGATGGCGTATCAAGACTTCATAACGGCAGATATGTAAAAACATCGCTGTTGAATTGTCAGACCATTCCGAGTAAACCGTAGTCACCAATTTGTACTGGTCGATGATAATGCGCCCGCACGTCGAGCTCAACGAGTTAATGCTGCTCTCCGAGAATACGACATTACATGGTTAGACTGACCTACTGCAGGCTCGCCTGAATTAAACTCACTAGATCACGCGTGGGATGCTCTTAAGCCAGATGTTTGGAGCCGTCAGCCACCTCCCTAGATAGTGCCAGAGATCAGGGAAGCCGCTATTCAAGCATGGAATAATTACTGAAATACTGGATAACTTGATCCGCAGCATGCCCAGGAGGATCACGCACGTGTGTGTGTCATGGGAGGAGCTATATTATATTAAATAAAAACCTTCTGTTAATAAATTGTTCTATAAATTTGGTTAAACAATCTTTTTCTTTCCATCAAATTGTTGTTACAATTACGTTAGGATTGAATTACTCAATTTTTGTTATTACAAATAAAAGGAGTTTATTTTTTTAATTTCAAACAGTTTATTTCCATTTGAAAAAACATATAAACACTTTTTCTGGATACAGTTAAATTTAAAAATTATATTAGCTTTTGCTCGTGATAAGAAACTTTTTTGATACTTACAAGTATACAATTTTACGTGTACTCTTCGAATATGTATAGTATGATAGAATTCAACGACATATTTATTTGAACAGAGGCAGTCATTTATATGGTAACTAGTCTAATGACTCGGTTGGTATGCTGTGAATTTAAATTGGTCATTCTAATTAATTACCATTCCTGATTTTGCCTACGCCTTTAAGTGAGACATATTTTTTAAGATAGCAATTTAATGAACTCGTAATATTTTGTGAGTATTTTAACTAATACTGATAAACAAAGCACTCATCTTAAAATTTCACAGTTCGCAAAAAAACCGAGTTTGATTTACGCTGTAGTTTGGTGTACCACGTAATTAGTAGCAAAAGAAAACGTAACAAAACCGAATATCTGAAAAAATTATTCAAAATTAATGAGGAGATATGACGCCTGCTAACACAAAATTGGGACTGCGTGGTGGGTACTCCACTTCTCCTCTTCAAAGAGGGTTCACTTGAACACTCTCTGAAGAGGAGATGGGGCCTGGCTCAGCAGAGGGGTGGTGTTTACGTATATGTGCTATTAACTACTTACACGTTTGTATTTGACTATATTTTTATTGAAGTAATACTTTTAACATCCCTCTTTTATATTTTTCGTATTAGAAAATAAGAATAGGATAAGAAAATACTGAAAATTATTTTTGGATTAAAGAGTTATATGACTGTACAAGTGAACAAACTTATACAGCTACATTGTGGTTGCAGCACGAATAGGTCGGCTCGACCGGGGAACACTCTCACAGAATACAAGCATAAAATATCAGTTTAATGCTGCTGTCTTTCGTATGGTAAGTGTAGAAAACTGGGGACCCTTTTTACTGGAAATGAGGTAACAAGACATCTGCAATTGATTTTGAATCGAGAATAAATGTAGTATAAGGGCCCACAGTATCTAGTTAGCATCAAGTGGACTATGTGTAGGTACGTTAACCTAATTCTATAAAAAAAGGATGTTAAAAAGGTAAACTATCTGAACATGATATTATAAGGTCTGGGAAAAAGTTTCTTCGTATTTTATATACAAATTCAAGAATATTTTTAAAGTTTAAGTTCATTTAATTATAATATATATATTTGTACTATTTTTTCGATAACTTGTTGCCATCTTGTAGGTTACATAATCCCGCTGCTGTAGAAATCTTGATCAAAAAAATGCGACAAATTAACATTTTGACATTGATGATTGATTGATTCTTGATGTTAACCTAACACTACTCAAAAATTCTGAAGAGACCGAAATAGGTGTAAATCTAAGGGTGAAAGGTCAGAATTATATGGTCGATACATTAACACTTCCCAACCAAACTCTCACAATTTTTGCTGAGAGACGAAAATGTGTGGCGTTATCATGATAAGAGACCACTCCTTTTCTGTTGATTAATTCCGCCCGTTTTTTCTCAATTTCTTGCTTGAGATCCGCGTTTCGCTACAATCTGTGGACCTTGACTTCCCTTTGACCGTGATCTTTTTCACACGCTCTCGTCATAGGTGATCCACTTTTCATTACCAGTGATCAATATTTTAAAAATGGTTCAGTTTAATGACGTTTCCATAGAGAATCGCTAATAAGTACCCGATTAATTAGGTTTCTTTCAGCAAGTTTGTGTGGTACCCAAATATCGAGCTTTTTTGCCTTTTTTTTTGAGCATTATAGCCCATTGAAGTAATATGTACTTACTTACTAGAACAGCTATTTTAAACAAAAAATGTGCGCTACTCTGTGTTCGCGCTGTTGGTTTTTAATTCATAGAATAAACATAGGTAGAATGATCAGTGGATAATATTAGATTGTATTGTTAAATAATTAAATTATATCGCGTATTTTTTTAATTTTGTCATTTATTTTGTATATTATATTTGCTTATTTAATATACTCGTAATACTACGAGTATATCACAATTACATTTTAATGATATTTTTATCTGAATATTTTAAAAGGTAACTATGTCAAATACAAAAAAAACATACTAAATGTATGTTTAACAAAACTCATTAATATAACATTTAAATTACAAATATAAATATTTAAATTAGAATAAGAGTCGTTCATAAATGCTGGGTACGCGAGAGTTGAAAATTGACGAATTCATTCCACTTTGGCTTTGATGTGGAAACCTAAAAATAAAATAAACGAATAATGAGCAGATTTAAATATAAAAAAATTAGTCTAATTATGATAACCTATATCTGTTTCTACAAAAAATTGTGCATAATAATATATTCGTCCTACACTTAAGCATCCACAGAAATGTCGCATCTGAACAAATCAATTTTATAATCTATATTACATGACACGAGATGGCGTCTTAGGAACAATTTGTTTTATTATTATCCTATAATACTTTTTTTATTGATTAAGTATCTTATTAACCGATAAAAAGATATTCTTTGGTATTTGCTAACATTACTTGAATTATTTGTGCAATATCTAGAAACACACCAAGGCATATTTTATCGAAATTTTTTTAAATATAAATTAAGCAACACGTGTCAAATCACTTGCGCCTAGCGAGTGCGAGTGACTATAGTCAACCAAATCTAAGAAATACATTTTGACAGATGTCAAACTTATTGCACCAAGCATGCCAACCAAAAAATGGGAACGTACAATATTCGATCCTTAAAAAAATCGATATCGGTTATATAGATTTGGTAATCATTTACAGTTTAGTTTGAATAATACCAGAACAAATTAAAATTGGATAATTTAAAACACAAGATTTATCAGTGACTTGGTATTTGTTGTTACTGGTTATTTCTAGAGGCACAGTTATAAAAATTTAAGATTGAAACTAGATTAAAAATAAATTTTTTCAATCATTTACAGCACAACTAGAAGGGATGTCGTTGTTTATATTAATTATTATTTGTTTTATGCATAATCAATTTTTTTTGTTTTTTCTACCACTTTTACCCAATCATCCTTTGTGACATGGGCACATGCTTCAACGAATATTTTTTTATAGCATTGAGTGACAAACGAGCACACAGTCCACCTGATGTTAAGTGGATGCTATGGCCCATAGACATACATATTTATTCTCAATTCAGAATCAAAATGTAAATGAGTTGTCACCTCAGAGGCTTAAGATGGAATGCCTCGATTCCAGTAAAAACGGTCTCCGGTTCTCTACACTCACCATATGATCAGCACTACGCTGCTATTTAACGCTAGTATTCTGTGAGAGCGTGGTCCTGCCCTGGTTTAGCCGACCCATTCGTGCTACAACTATAATATAGATATAGCGTGGCTCTAGCAGGTACAAAAATTATTATAGAAGAAACAGTCCAAAAAGTTAAAGCAGAGTCACAAAATAAGAAGACAAACAAAAAATCACAATATTACGCAGAGTAAGCTGTCGAAATAGAAACAGAAACTTTTTTAATTCAATATAGATTATGAATAATACTTATTGAAAGTCACTTTTTTCATTTACCACTGGTTCGCAAAAAGAACCTCTGCCCTGGAAGAACCAGTAAGAAACCCAACGGTACTAGTTTTTTTAAATAAGAGCTTACAATCGTGCGTGTTACAATTAAGTTAAATTAGCGATCACTCTTCCCAGCAGTTATTATCATCCATAAATTCCTTAATATTAAAATAACCCTTTTTATACAAACGTAGTTTAATAAAGTTTTTAAACTTTGTGTACTTACGTCAAATTTTGTATATTTTCTGGGATTTTGTTGTAAAAGCGTAAACATCGCCCCAAAAATGAATTACTGACTCTGTTAAGTCGAGTAACTGGTGTCGAAATGGCGGGATATTGAAATTATGTAGTGGTTATTTTAGCACGGCCTTGTATACGAGTTTTTTTGCCTACACAAATTTACTTTCACAAAGTAAAAAGAAATAAACTTGTTTTATTCATGATTCATGTAATTTAAGGAATTTTGAAAATAAAAATTAAATTAAACAAATAATACATTAAAAATTAATGTTTCTATTATTTTAAATTTTTTACCGCTTATTTGAATATTTTGCCGATCATTCGCATACCAACGAATTTTAATCATCCAAACACTACGGTATTATACATAGCGACATATCATTGAAACGACGTCGAGTAAAAAAAGTTAATACTGGTTATTTTTTTTAAATATTTTGCTTTGTTTGAAAAATTCAAATTTAAATTAGTGATAAAAAGCTATACACGTAGTAATGAAATATAGATAACTTTATAATTCTTCGGATTTACGTAAAAGGTTATTTTAAATCGTGCGAGTACGCTGGTTCAAAGTTATTGCGGAATGATTAATGTGAAACGTCAAAAGGTATTTCTTAGATTTGGTTGACTATAAGTAAAGTGTGGCGCTAACACCGCAATTGAATGGAACAGCGTAACTACATGCAGTGTTGCCTCTAGTACGCAATACATAATAGCTCAATGCTATAGCCAGACTTTTTGAAATGAGTCAAAGCTGTTTTGTGGTAAATTCTTAATTCCTCAGCTATGTTATGACTACTAGTATACTGATCTTGCTTCACTTTTTCAGAAATAGCATCAAATTTATCCGTATGAAGGCGGTCAGGGCGAGCTGCATGTTTACCATTGAGTTATGTACTACGTACTAGAGAAGCTATTCCAAACAAAAAGTGTGCGCTACTCTGTATCCGTGCATGCGCGGGAAAAAGTAGAGGCTCGCATGCGCGGTTGATATAAACGCGCGAAAATTTTCATAATAAATAATTGTTTATTTAGATTGTATTGTTAATCGAGTACATTTTCTATTTTTTTTACTTTCGTTTATTTTGCATATATGTTAATTTAATATAAAATTATTATTACCACAATAACAGGTGTACGGATTGCAGTACGGTTCAGTTGAAAGTGATGAGTTTTCGGAATGCCATATCTAGTGCGTAGTACATATATATCGATGGCTTAAACCAACTTTGTGCTATTCTTAGTGACACTGCATTGGGTCCATAAACGTCACAATTTTGTTTTCATGGATTGTGTCAAATTCTTCCCTTTTTGTAAGAAAACTTCAGAATATATCACTTTTTTCGTTATATTCACTCATTTTGGCGGACAGATTAACAATTGAAAAACAAAAATGGCGAAAAAATATTTTTTACTTTTTATTTTTCTTTTTCTTAATGTCCTACATATATGTATTGATATAAAAACCAGCCAGATACAAACAGTACAACCAAAGAGATTTTTTTTCAATTTTATACAAACAAAATACGAAGTAACTTTTTCCCGACATATTACTAAGTTTTTTCCCGTAAGTTTGCGTGAGGTCCCAACCTTGTGTTAGGAGTTAGTCACGAGTAGTAGGTATTCGCAGTAGATATCATGTAATTCTCACCGCAGTATTACACTCGTGGTAGCGGCGCCCGAGGCCTGGACAATCGGGTACGGAGCGTGTTATTACGTTCCGTGCTCGGCGGGTGTGATCCACACTCCTAGTCAGCTTTCTCCTCTTTCTACTGCGGCGCCATCTGAAAATTTAACGGATTTGTTTAACGCTCTTTATACTTTTATATAAATTATTTGCATACTTTTATATTCATACTAATTACAAAAAAGAAGTAAAAATCTTTAGTAATTATTCGATTTTTTCAAAACAAAAATATCGTTATCTACGCCGATTTTCGGTTACGGCAGCCAGTCTCAACGGAGACTCGTCATCTGCAAAGATCATTATTAAATTACGCATGTGCCACAAGCACAATAGCACTCTCTATACCCTAACTCGCATAATGCGATGAAACGGCAATCCGACACAACCAGAGTGACATTGGGTACAGCACCATCGGTTTTAGGTGAATCAAATCACAGAGATGATACACTGCTAACTTCCTGACTCCAGGCAGCTACTGAGAATTTCTTGACTGATGGATTTAAAAGATCCGAACCAGGATTCGAACCCGGGACCACTAGATCAACCAGCAGTAATTTTATAATGCATACTTATATGCCTAAAAGGCACAGGCATCCTCTCATTTCTGAGAGGATATTGGAAAAGAAAGGGTTACACCTCAATGCCTTAATTGTGTTGGTGAATTTCACATGTCCTGTAAATATTTAAATTTCCCAAACATGCAAGTTTTCCTCAAGAGGTTTTCCTTTAACTAGGAGCACGTAAATCAGCAAATTTAAAATTGTAGTTAAAAATTTCATTGGTGCCGGAGTCTATCGAGCTCTCTTAATAAGTCGTGTATGATAAATTTAGCACGGCACTTATCCCCTGAATTATGGTAGATCCTAATCTCAAACTATTTAAACAAACACAGCTTTGCACAATTCGCTAGATAATTTCTAGATTTTCTATCGCCTAAACTTTACCCTTATACTTATTTCTGTATGTTGCGGTGGTAAACATAATTATTTATGTAAATAGTGCTTGGACAATTACCCGACAAAGAGGAACTTAATGAATTACCCGAAAAAGACAAAGACCCGGAAAAATTATTCGGAGGAAACGTTGTTTTTGACGGGACTTAGCCCGAAAAGAAAGTAATTTTTTTTTGATTTACCACTGCTTCAGACTACTTATGTCTTGCGCGGAATATTTTTTAAAGAACGGTTTACAATCATGTTTTATGTTTACACAATTAGTTATATAAATCGTATTAGAAACAGCTTGGTAGCGACCACCTCATTCCCAGGAGTTTATATCATCTATAAATAAAATAAAATAAAATAAAATAACTTATATTTTATATATTTAATAACCCTTTTTATAAAATCTTTGTTAAATACAATTTTTGAAGTTGACAGTGGACAAATTTTGTTTATTTTCTGGGCTTCTCTTGTATGTACATAGCTCCAAAAATGAATTATTGACTCGGTGGAGTCGAAGTATTAGTTACCGTGCCCAGTATTTACACAATGATTAGCATTTTAAAATAGCTGTCTATATTATTGTTTTATTTTTATAGAGTTATGAAGTGTCAGAATCATTTTATATGTGATGAATAATAGTAAAAACTGAAATACGAAAACCAACTTAATTTTGATACACAAGTGGAAATACTCGTTTAGAGTTACTTAATGCTTACAGACACCACGCATAAAGTGGCTCACTCAGTCTTTTTGTGCCTGTCGGACGCTGTTATTGAGTCGTTAATTTTGATTTTCGTAATAAATTTGACACATGAAGCATAAATATTAACATATAAGAACTTGAATTATGAGTGATCATTTCAAGATAAGAAGATTTTGATCTTAATGTGACATAACTAGTTTAAATGAACGTCGCCAGCTTTTTGGAACTGTTTTGTTTATGAGATTGCTTTTCGTTGTACATATATGAATATTTTCATAATTAAACATTTGTATTTTAAACTAGCGGTTCCCCGCGACTTCGTCCGCGTTGAATTTATTACGATTGGATATCATGGGTTTTAACTTTTTTGCGCGGAACTAGAATTCTTATTATAAAATATAAGTGGCCTTAGTTACTCTAATGACATCAACTATCTGTCAGTGAAAGTCCCGTCAAAATCGGTCGAGCCATTTCGAAGACTGACCAGAACAAACAGACAGACAGACAGAAAATTCAAAATTGGTTTTTGGGTGTGGACTCTAAGGACGGTTTTTTTTATAAATTAAGGGCTACAAACGAGCACACAGTCCACCTAATTGTAATTGGCTGCTGTGGCCGATAGACATCTACATCTATCCTCGATTAAGAACCGAAATGCAGATGCGTCACCCCTGAGGAACTAATATGAAATGCCTCGTTTCCAGTAAAAAGGGTCTGCGTATCTGTACACCTACCATACAAAACACATAGTATTAAGCCTATGCGGTTTTCTGTGAGAGCGTGGTCCTTCCCCGGTCGAGCCGACCTATTCGTGCTACAACCTTAATATAGCTGCAGCGTGGCTCTACCACGTATAATACGGTATTAACATCAATGGAGAGTACATCACTCACTTTCGATTTGCTGACGATATAGTCCTTAAGGCAGAATCGCTGGAGGAGTTAAACACTATGCTCGATGACCTCAATAGTGCCTCCCAATGGCCTTTACGTTGAGAGGCACTATTGAGATTGGATCAATAGATAAAACAAAGATCATGTGCAATGTCCGTGTCACACATATGCCATTAGTTGTTGGGAGCACTAAGCTCGAAATTGTTGACTAGAATGTTTACCTGGAACAAATAGTCCGACTTGGTAAGTTTAACTTCAACCGAGAGGTCAACTGATGGATTTAACTCGACTGGGTAGCGTTCGAGAAATCACGACACATCTTCTCGTCAGGCATACCTCAATATTTGAAAACGAGATTAAACAACCTGTGCGTGATGCCAGTGATGACTTATAGATCTGAGACGTGGTCCTTCACAGCTGGCGGTATGAGGAAGCTCAAGGTCGCTCAACGAGCTATGGAGAGGGCTATACTCGGAGTTTCTCGACGTGATAAACTTAGAAATGAGGATATTCGTGGCAGAACCAGGTTGATCGACATAACCCAACGGATTGGTAAGCTGAAGTGGCATTGGGCCGGCCTTATAGCTCGAAGAAACGACAACCGATGGGGCAAAAAGTAGCAGCCTTGTACCGGTAGGGAAAGTGTAGGGAGACCCCACACTAGATGGAGTGACGACCTGGTAAGACAGGCTTGAGGTTGATGGATGCAGATGGCTCAAGACCGCACTTTGTGGCATTCCTTGGAGGAATACTATGTTCACCAGTGGACTTGTGAAAGTCTGTAATGATGATGATGATTATGGTAGTGATGATGATGAATACAGTAGATGATGTATAGATGTATAGATTATGTATAGATATAGATTTCTAGGCAGATAGCACAAAAACATTTATAAATACTATCTTATTAAACACTCACACTTAAGGTACGGACAGACGTACTCATTACTAGCACGAAAGCATACTTTTATTGAGCAAGTGCCCATTAGCAGCACGTGTGTACACTCATTGCTAGTAATGAGCATGCTTATTTTGAGATTCCTCAAAAAATCAACCGACGTTTGATTTTCGAGCATTCTACCTGAGGCGCGGGTAGAAGGGCGTGTTCCGAGCGCGTCTAAACTGAACAGGATTGCTTATGAGCATGTTTTATCGAATCGATCTCGATTCGCGACAGTTGCTGCGTCAATTTAAAATAAAAAAACCCTCGATATGTCGCGATGGAGGGAAGAAAAAACTTTGCTTTTTCTTCTTACACCATTCGGTTGCAAGCAATATGATTATTTTATTAAGTTTTGTACGGACAACACTGTCACAATATTTTTGTACATCCATTTTGGCCCAAAGCCTACTGCCAAATAGCACGTCTCATACTTAACCGTGCTTATTATTCTTTAATCTAGTAATTTTTTATTAAATTAACGATGAATGGATTTACCAGTAATGTAACTGTATTTCATAGACACCGAGCGGTTTGGCACTTTAAATTATACTAAATCCTGTATTTAAAAAATGTAAATATACCAACAATGAAACTAAGCATATAATGTGGGTAGCCTATTTTTTTCGTTGTTTCTTTCTTTTTATTTTTTTACTAATACAAAACTGTAGATATTGCTTCCATACGTATCCTTTTTGGTAAAAAACGGCAAATTCTACTTTCAGTCCAATTATATATGAATATGGGTATGCATATGTATATGTATATTATATATTAGGAATTTTCGGACATCAAGAGCGAGCGTGCACTCAGCCACCCGAGCTGCTTCTGGAATGGGCTGGACTGAAAACCAGTGCTGTCACTGAGTCCGGTCCGTTTCACGGTTTCATGTTGCAGCATAGGGTATTTTTAAAAGGTTTTCTTAAATTTATAATAATAATTAAATTACTTTTAATTTAGTTATATTTATCTTTTGGCATTTAACTACTTTTTACTTGTTATGCTGCATGCTTAAACTGGAATAAAATGCATTTCTTTCCTTCTTTCTTATTGCTGGCAAATGTGAACAGTTGCAGAGCATGCTCATTTTAAGCAAGCTTATGAGCATGCTTTTTTTGAGTACGTCTGCACGTACTATTACGCCGTAAATATCCTACCGTGTGCCCGTGTGGGTTGTAAAAGGAAATAGAGGTAGCTTGAAACAGCAGGTAGCGGCAGCGTCTTCCTGATAATAGCTCAAAATAAAAGCATGCTGACTTAGCCTTAGATTCCCATAGATAGCCTCATAAGAGGGATTACTTCCCTCCTATGAGGCTATCTATGGGAATCCTATTTTCAGCGCTGGTATTTTAATAGGCTGTAATGATGATCGATGATTATAAGGATAATTTAAAACATGAATATAAAAAGAAACTGAGATTAAATTCACAAACATCATTATCCCTTTAATTAGCACAAAATAAAGTCACTTATTCTTGTTTTTCGTATATTCGTTTAAAACTTTAGTAGAAATTTTCGAAATTATATCAGTTTTCATAAGAATAGATAGGGCGATCTTTAGTCCTGGGTCCTCGTTGCAAATGACATCATTTTAAAATATGGCATCATTTTGAGAAC